TCTGCATGCAATTTACTTATGTAGTAAAACCTCACTTGTACCCCACAACTCATAATTAAATAAATAAAATTTTGAAAGTAAAGGAAGGGAGGGAGGGAGGATGAGGAAAGAAAAAAGTGGAAGCCACCTCAGTGGTCATCCACTAGTCTGTAATAGGGCTGCAAATTGAACTAGGATATAAGCATTCCATGATGTTCTCTGCAGCAGTTATTGGAACTTTATCTCCTAACATGGAGAGATCACCAACAGATTGTTTAATGAGAAACATGTAAGCTATAGTGTTCACTTGCATACTTAAAGATTTGTCAGATAGGCTGGGTACAGCAGCTCATGCCTGTAATCTCAGCACTTTGGGGAGGGTGAGACAGGAGGACTGCTTGGGCTCAAAGGTGAGACATTAATATGGATAAAGCTTAATTCTCCTGGAAAATTCCACTCCCCTTCCATACACTTATATTCATACACACACACACACACACACACACACACACACACACACACACACATATAAACATAAATGTGGAGATTTTATTTTCCTTTTTACATAATTAGCATCATACTATGTATACTGTTTTATATCTTGGTGTTTTCTTTTGTTTCCACTTAATGATAAGTTGTGAAGTTCTTTTCATTGCCGTACCCACAATCTTAACTCATTCTTTTTATTAGATGTCCATTATGATCATTTTAAAGAACTACTTCTCTGCTGAAGGATATTTAGTTTGTTTTAAGCTTCTGCCAATACAGATGAAGGTACGGTGAACTTCCTGGATTGAAGACATGTGCTGATTAAATTGAAGTAACTACTGTTAAAATGTCCTCGAAAGCGACCATACCAATTTATCTTCCAGCAGGGGATGAAGATACGGAACCATCCCCTACTTCGCACTGTTTATTAAAAAATGGGGGTTTTTTTGAGTTGGAGTCTCACTCTGTCACCAAGGCTGGAGTGCAATGGCATGCTCATGGCCACAACAGCATGGATCTGCTGGGCTCCAGCGATCCTTCCACCTCTGCCTTCCAAGTAGCCAGGACTACAGGCGTACTTCTTTTTTTTTTTTTTTTTAATTGTAGAGATGAGGTCTCGCCAAGTTGCCTGGGCTGGTCTCGAACCCAAGGGCTCAGGCAGTCGACTCACCTCAGCTTCCCAAAGTGGTGGGATTACAGGCTGAGCAACCAAGCCTGGTCTAAAAAATATTTTTTTATGATTTTGCTAAATGGATAGGCAAAATGTTGAGTTGGCATTTCCTTGATAGAATGAGATTGAGCATTATTTCATTTGTTCTTTAGCTTTTCTTTCCTTTTCTTTATTTCTTTCTTTTTCTTTTTTAATTTTTTTTTTTTTTTTGAGTCAGAGTCTCATTCTGTCACCCAGGCTGGAGTGCAGTGGCACACTCACGTCTACTACAGCCTCGACCTGCTGGGCTCAGGCAATTCTTCCACTTCAGCCTTCCAAATAGCTGGAATTACAGGCATGTGCCATCACACCCAGTTAATTTTTTGATTTATTGTAGAGACAAGGTCTCACCATGTTGTCTAAGTTGATCTAAAACCCATGGGCTTAGGCAATCCAGTCGTTTCAGCCTCCCAAAGTGCTGGAATTACAGCGTGAGCCACCATGCTTGGCCTCATTCTTTAGCTTTTCAAGTGTATTTTTTCATGAGTTTCTTATTTGTATCACTTGCCTGATTTCTAAATTGAGTTATCTGCTTCTTATCAACTTATAGAAACTCTTTATATATTGTAGATATTAGTCTTTTGTCAAATGTGTGTATATGTGCAAAAGATTAACAGGCACACTGTAATCCCTTCTTTCCCACAAGGACCACTTCTAAGACCCCCCATGGATGCTTGAAACTGTGGATAGTTCCCAAATTCTACATACACTGTGTTTTTCCTATACATACATACCTATGATAAAACTTAATTTATAAATTTGGCACAGGAAGATTTTCACAACTAATGGAAAATTTTTAACAATATACGATAATAAAAGTTACATGAATGTGATCTCTCTCTCTCTCTCAACATATCTTATTGTATGCAATATATTTGTACCACAGTTGACTGTGGGTAACTGAAACAGTCAGAAGTGAAACTGTGGATGAGGAGGACTACTGTATACACACACACACTCTAGTCATCAGCTTGGGCTGCCACAACAAAACACTGTAGACAGGGTGGCTTAAACAAGAGTTTATTTTCTCATAGTTCCGGAGTCTGGGAAGTGTAGCATCCAGGTGCCGGCTTGTCAGTTCCTGGTCCTAACTTATAGACAGCCCCTACCCTACTGTGTGCTCACATGACCTCTTCTTTGTGCATGAGAGCACAAGCAGGGTGAGCTCTCTGATACTCTTCTTATAAGGGCACTAATCCTGGAGTATGAGGGCCCCATTCTTATTACCTAATTTAACCTTAGTTGGCTCGTTATAAACCCTGTCTCCAAAAATCACATTGGAGATCAGGACTTCAGTGTGAATTTTGGGGAGACGCAATTCAGCCCATAGGACACAATAGAGCAATTATTTTCTATTGCCTTTTAGCTTTGTTTCTTTTGTTTTTTTAAATTATGATTAAATGAACATAGCATAAAATTTGCCATCTTAATCTTTTTTAAGTATATGGTTTAGTAACATCCAGTATATTGATTGCTGTGCAACCAATCTCCAGAATTCTTTTCATCTTGCAAAACTGACACTCTATACTAGTTAAACAACTCCCCAACCCCCTCCCAAAGCCCCTGGCAACCTCCATTCCACTTTCTGACTCCATGCAGACAGAATCATAACTACTCTGGGTATCTCGTATAAGCGGGATCATACAGTATTTGTCTCTTTGCAACTGACTTATTTCACCTCACAGAATGTCCTCAAGATTCACACATGTTGTAGCATATGTCAGAATTTCCTTCCTAAGGTTGAATAACATCCTACTGTACATACATAACGCATTTTGTTTACCCATTCATCTGTTAGTTGGCAATAGGGTTGCTTCTATATTGGTTTTTATGAATAATGCTGCTATGAGCATGTGCATACAAATATCTGTTTGAGTCCCTGCTTCCAATTATTTTGGATCTATACAGAAGTAGAATTGCTAGATCATATGTGATTCTATTTTTAACTTTTGAGGAAGTGGCATACTATTTTCCATAGCACTGTATCATTTTACATTCTCACCAGAAATGTACAAGGGATCCAATTTCTCCAGATTCTGGCCAATACTTTTTATTGTGTTTTGCTGATATTATCCCTTCTAATGGCTGTTAGGTGATTTAATTTGTTTTTGTTTTTGTGTTTTGAGTTGGAGTCTCACTATGTCACCCAGGCTGCAGTGCAGTGACACGATCATGACTACCACAACTTTGACCTGTTGGGCTTAGGCAATCTTTCCACCTCAGCCTCCTGAGTAGTTGGGACTACAGGCATGCACCACCAAGCCAGGTTAATTTTTTTTTAATGTATTGTAGAGGTGAGGTCTTGTCATGTTGACCAGGGTGGTCTTGAACTCCTCAGCTCAGGCAATCCTCTCGCCTTGGGCTCCCAAGGTGCTGGGATTACAGGCATGAACCACCGTGCCCACCCTAGCTTTGATTTTTGATGCTTTTTGTACCACAAGGCAAGCCAGAAGCAGGAATACAATGAAGGTTGAAGTTTATCTACACTTTGTTCAAATCCTGTCTATACCACAACATTCTAGCTGTGTGACCTCATGCAAATTTCCCCAGGCCCTATTGCCCCATCTGTAAAAGGGGTATAATAATCATACTGAGAGCTGTAAGGCTCAAGTAAGATAATGTACTTAAAAGGACTTAGCACAAGTTAATTTCATATTATCAGTCTTTCATGTTTCTTATTTAGAGGGTCATTTCTACCCCAAAGTAATGCATAATCTATTTTCCCTCTCCAAATTCTTTTGTAACTTTAAATTTTGCTCCTGAGTGTTTAAATCAATTGAAATTTATATTTTTTACATGGCATGCAGAAGGTTAGCCAATTGTCTTAACACCCTTCACCAACTAGTGTGTGCTTCCTCACTGATTTGATCATCTTTTACTTCTGGCTATGCAGAGGTCTGTTTTTGGACTCTGCTCTAGCAACTGATTTATTCCTGAGCCTTCACTTCCTAGGGCTTTAGAACAAGAAGTGCTAGCAGGTTAGAGCAGGTCCCTTTTGTTTTCCCTTTTCAAAGTTGGCTTGACCTTTCTTGACCTCTCCTTTTCTAAACTCAGCCTGTTAGGTTTAGAAAAATATCCTGGTGAGCTTTTGAATGGACTGTCCTGAAAAACTCACTTGGAGGAAAAGTGACATGTTCATAAGATTGCATTCCCTTGCTGGGAAACTTTTGTCTCCCAGAATTCTATTTCTCCCTTCTCGGCTGACCCAGGTGGATCTGAGTATTTTCTTTCATCAAGAACTGAATCACAACCATTGCAGATAAAAGCTCTTCTTACCCTACTTCCCCTTAAGGATGTAAGAACTGGAGACGAATTGCCACATGAGAGGGTTTGAAAAGGAGCAGAATGATCTGCTTTGAGGAGACAGGCTATTCAGGGTGGTGACCTTGGGAACGCAGCTGACAGTTTGCCAAGACAAGTCCCTGGGCCTCCTGGACCTTCCTCAGTGACTCTGAAAACAGGCAGCTTTGCAGGAGCAACTAGAAAATTCCAAAGTCCACAGGCCCCATGGACTGAGGGCTGGTTTTAACTCCCCATAGCCCCATTGTACAGAAGAAGAAAGTGAGGTTAGGAGGTTGGAAAGGCAAACCTAGATGGGTCTGGCCTCTCATCCTCCCCTAAAGTTGAACTTGACTTAAAACAGGGGTTGAGTGGCATCTGAAGGTGAGGGAGAATGCACTCTGTTCCCAGGGCTCCACCCCCCCCTCCACAAAATAGACCAGCGGTCTAGTCTCTGGGTTTTACTTTTAACTGGGGGTTCTTGGAGTAGGCTGCCCCATTATTCCACATCCTTCCCCCCTTTAAGAAGAGACCAGTCCTCAGCTCATGCTGTTCATGGGATTTATTGTCACTTGTCAGTGGCCAGAGGGGGAAGGGGATGACAACCACACCTCACCATGGGCAGAGGTGGCACTGGGCCATCCAATCCTGTCTCCACACCACACACTGCACACGGAGGGGTGCGTCCTCACTGGCAGCAGTTGCACTTCTCTGCCTCAGCCTTGGCCCCCTCTCCACCTTTGCACACACAGTCCTTGGCACACTTCTCGCACTCTGCAGGGCAGCAGGAGCAGCAGCCTGCAGATGAAATGGGAGATGCTAGGCTGCTGCAACTCCCCCCACCCCCGCCATTGTCTGTCCCCATCAAAGGGAGAGGGAGAGAGGGAGAGATGCTGGGTGGCTGAGGAGTCATCCTGGTTTAGCCAGGGCTGGTTGCTGTCCCCAACCTGGTTTGATTCAGCATCTATGTTGCCGCTGCTGTGGGCAGTGCTACTGTGAAAGAGGGGCACCCAGTGATTAGCTCATAGCCCCTTGGGAACACCCTGGGGATGGTGGACTTAGGCCTAAGAGTAGGAAAGTGCTAGGCCTTAAGGAGAAAGCATCTCAGGGTAAATGGCCTTGAAATGGACATGAAGGATAACCTTGGCGAATCAGAGATGGTACAGGAGTCCAGGAACTCCATGGGGAGAACTGTGCCTCAACACAGAGGGAAGAGGGGAGCCCTCCCTCACCTCCCACCCTCCATGCATATGACCCGGCAGTGAGCTGGGGAGGTTCAAGGAAAGTCAAATTGAGGAGAGGCACAAGGCCCGAGAGGGACCAAGGGACCGGAATTCCAGAACTAACCCTCATCCACACTAATGGCTTCCCCTGATTCTGAGGGTCTTAAGGGGTGGGGCGGGAAAGGCTGGACCAGTGTAGCAGCTCTCAGTTCCAGTTACCTATTGTACTCTTCTGAGGATTTACAAAAACGTCTCACTCCATGCCTACAGTGTCCATCTCTGCGGGTGGGGCACAGGCATCTTTATTTTAAGGTCTGTCCAGGTGGTTTGGTTCTGTTCCAGCAAGAGTCAGAAGCAGAACAGGGGGTCTGGAGGTCTAACTGCATCCTGTGTGGTAAGATATTAACTAGGGGGAAGGGGTTGCAGGGAGGGCCGTGTTCCCACACTCACTCTTCTTGCAGGAAGTGCATTTGCATCCCTCGCACTTGCAGGAGTCGGAGCAGGTGCAGGAGCCACCTAGAGAGAGAAACGCCACGGGAAGGGGTAATCCTAAAGCCCCGGGGTCCCCACGCCTGGAGGGAGATGGGTGCTGGGTCTCCCTGCTCTTCGCGACATGGGCAGGCCCAGGATCCACGAGGCTAAAACTGGGAAACCAGGCGCCCTCCCCCGAGTGTCCTTGAGCAAAGGCGCAGGGCGTGGGATTCTCTGCAAGTCAAGGGACGTGCCGTGCCGCAGGATGAGGGCGAGGGCGAGGGCTCACCAGAAGGGCAGGGGCAGGTCTCAGGGTCCATGTCCAGGCAAGCAGTCGCTGGAGGCGGCGAACGGGCTTCTCCGGGCGACTGGACGCGCTGCCGGCTGGTGGCAGCAGGTGGCGAGGCTTTTATAGCCCCCGGCGGGGGCGCGCAGCCAAGCCCGCTGGGCGGCCGCCCCAGCGCGCGGCGCCGGCTCTTCCCGATCGGCGCGCCGGCCCAGCGCACTGCGGCAGCCGTCCCCAGCCCCGCCGCGTGCACGACCCGGGCCCTCCCGCCCAGGCCGCGCGCGCTCCCCTCGCCCCCCGCGCCGTGTGCACCGCCTACTCCCCGCCGTGCACGCGCAGCCCGCCCACTCGCCGCCGTGAGGCCCGGTGGGGACGCGATCGTCGCTACAGCCGCCACCGGGTGGAAGCGCGCACGCACCACCTCTGAACGTGGAGGGACAGATCGGCCTATTTCCCAGTTCTTCCCTGCATGTCGTCCTCTTTATTCTAGAATTCTCGGGGCGCCAGATTTGTTCAAATGGGTTGCTGAGTTGGGGGCATCTTCCATCGTCCTTTCCTTTCCGCCTTTGTTCTACCCAGCACCCTCAGATCCTTGAATCCTGTCTCTCCATAATACAGACAGGGAAATGTGAGGCCGGAGAGGAGGGGACCCATCTAGGTCTTGGAATGAACCCGGAGGCCTAGAAGTTAGAACTCAGGTTCCTGGAGGGATTGTCTGTGTGGGCATGTCCTCCCCGCTGCCCAGCCCGTGGTACATCCAAGAAGGGGGCGTACCAAAGTCAGAAAACTGGGCACTGTGGCTCACACCTATAATCCCAGTACTTTGTGAGGCCAACCGGGGAGGACTGCTTGAGCCCAGGAGTTCAAGACCAGCCTGGGCAACATAGGGAGACCTCATCTCTAAAAAAAAATAATAATAATAATTAATAATGATAAAGAAATAAATTAGCTGGATGTGGTGGCATGCTCCTGTAGTCCCAGCTACTCAGGAGACTGAAGTGGGAGGATAGCCTAAGCTCAAGAGATCAGGCTGCAGTGAGCCATGATTGTGCCCTTGCACTCCAGCCTCTGGGTGACAGTGTGAGAACTTGGCTCAAATAGCAATAATAATAATAATAATAATCAGGAGAGAGATGAGATTTTTTTACTTACAAAAGGGAGCATAGATAAAAGAAGGTTGATAAATGCTTTTATAAGAGATTTGGATGCAAAATGAAAGGAAAAGAAGTTTATGTTGCTTTGAGAGTGTCCAGGGAAGTATTGGAAGTCCAGACGCAGACCCTGCACTGGGACCGTAACTTCCCAATTTCCCCAACTTGTTACTGAAGTTCTACTTCACACCCCGAGGCTGATGTTGGGACAAGGACATGCCCTGTTTATTATTCACCGCCTCTTCTGTCTTCCAAGGGCTGCTGCCAAGGAGGATACTTTGTAACTGAGCAGGATAGTAAGAATGAGAATGAGATCCAGGGAAGTGGAGAGGCAGGGCCCTCCGGGCGCTGTGGCTCATGCCTATAATCCCAGCACTTTGGGAGGCCGAGGTGAGAGGATCACCTGAGCCCACGGGTTTGAGACTAACCTGGGCAACTTGGCAAGATCTCATCTCTACAATAAATCAAAAAATTAGCTGAGTGTGGTGGCACATGCCTCTAGTTCCAGTTACTTGGAAGACTGAAGAGGAAGGATCACCTGAGCCCAGCAGGCCGAGGCTATGGTGGCTGTGAGTGTGCCATTGTACTCTAGCCTGGGTGACAGAGTGAGACTCCGACTCAAAAAAAGAAAAAGCCAGGGCCATCCAGCAGCCCTTGGAACCACGATGTCTGGGGGAGCAGAGAAGGGACCAGAACTGAGAGAGAAACTGTAAAGCAGCGGTCCCCAAACTTTTTGGCATCAGGGTCAGTTTTCATGACAGACAATTTTTCCGCGGGAGTGGGAGGATGGGGCCGGGGCATGTGCAGTCAAACCTCACTGCTAATGTCAGTTTCAGTCTGTATTCGCAGCCACTTCCCAGTGCTAGTATCGCTGCCTCAGCTCCACCTCAGATCATTAGGCATTAAATTCTCACAAGGAGCGTGCAACTTGGATCCTTGCATGCACAATTCACAATAGGGTTGGCCATCCTGGGGGCAGTGAGGAGGTTGCTCTGACAATCTAATGCCACTGCAGGTCTTACAGAAGACAGAGCTTCGCTGGCGGCTCATGACCCGGTACTGGTCTGTGGCCCCAAGGTTGGGGACCCCTGCTGTAAAGGGCATTTTAAAAAATGTTATTGTGCAGTTTGTGGTTATAACTGTCTCCTCTGTCCCTCTGAGACTTTCTGAAAATCTGCCCGGCTTGTCAAGGCTTTCACAGAAGGGGTTGTGTTTTGGGTAGGTGGCCCCCAAATGAAGGTAGGGCCAGAGGCGGTGTTTGACAAAGAATTGGTCAAACAGGAGTTACAGGGTAGTGTAAAGAAATTTACCACAAAATGATAATTTTTAAAGCAAATTTAAAACTTGAGCAGGGAGAGAGCAGGTAGCAGTCAACTAAGGCCAGAAGTGGAGCACTGGACTGAGAGTCAGAGGCTGTATGTAAGTGTAGGTTCTCATGCTGACTAGCTACTGAACAGTTCATATCTTTCTGTGAGTCTCAGTCACAAGAACTTCAGGTCTCAGGGCTCACCAGCTCTAGCATCCGTCATTTGTTGTTTGTTTCTTTGCTTTCATTTTGCCAAAGGGCACCCTGGCCTCATGCTTCTCTGACCTAGGCCCTGAGCCCTAGACTCTAGCCCTCAGGGCTTCTGGAGAGAGGATCCTTCATCCCCTGGGATACACTCAGCCACAGCTCCCTCTTCTCCATTCTCCCTCAGGCCTCTCAGATTTCCTTGGGACTGAGGCTTCAGAGCTGGGGTAGCAACCCCCAGGATGGCCAGGATTTAGAGGGGTCTGAAAACCACAATATCCTTCTGAAAAACCCTACCCCTCATTCTTCATGTGGCTGGGCCTGTCATCCTTCAGTTCTCAACCTTCATGACCTCTGAAGGGCACTTCATGTAGATGTGTCACTCAATAGGGTCCCCCTCACCCCTACCTTTCTCCTCCTCTGACCCCTTGTTAATGATCACAATCTGACGCTATTTTTTCTAAGTTCCCTTTGCCTGGGACTCTCCTCCCCCATTTATTCATGAGAATCACTCCCTTATTTCTTTGCCTCTAAGTCTCTTCTCAAATCTTACTTTCTCTGAAACCTACCATAAACATCCTATTTAAAATTGCAACACATGCCTTAACTTGCTAGTACTCCTGATCTCCCTCACCGTACTCTGTCATTTCCTTATTTCTTAGCATTTATCACCTACTAGCAAACTAAATAATGTACTTATTTGTAATGATTATGTGTTGCCTGTTTCCTCCTGCTAGAATTTAAGCATGAGAGCACAGGGGTCATTTTCTTCATGGATGTTATCTTAAGTGCCTATAACAGTGCCTAGTACACAATAGACATTCAGGATCCATTTACTGAATGAGTGAATGAATGATTCTGAAATCATGCTGACTGAGCCCCTTAATAGTAATGTGGCAGCCAGCCATGGTGGTGTATATCTGTAGACCGCTACTTGGGAGACTGAAATGGAAGGATTTCTTGAGTCAAGAGTTTGAGGCCTGCTTAGGCAGCATGGTGAGACCCATTTCTCTAAAAACAAAAACCACCACATAGCAAGAGTAACTAGCAAGAGTTGCTTAACATTGCTGTGCCTTGAGTTGCTTAAGGGTAAAGGAAATAATAGTAATAATATTACTTCATCAATTTGTCAGTGTTTTAAATGAGATGGCACGTGGAAAGCACTCCTAGCCACATTGGCTCTTCCCATTTACAAATGAGGAGATCAGGTGAGAACTTTATAGGGATCCTGGTTTCCTTAAAACTCCTACCTGACACCCAGCCTTATTGTTGGCCTCAGCTGTGTGCATTCTGAAATGCAGTGGCCTGTAATTGACACAGTACTGCAGCCCTCAGCTTGGACCACTGGAATCACAGACATCAGTTCAGGTCACCGGAATCACAGATATCAGTTCTCAATCCAAACTCCTGCACCCAATTCTAGAGCTTCCTGGGAAAAGGGAGTTCATGGAAACTTTGTTTTCAGTTAGATTGGGGCCAACAGACAAGACCAATAGACTGAGAGTGAAGATCACTCAGGTTCTCACCAACTAAGGGATGGAAAATCCCCAGATGATCTCAGAAAAAAAGCAAGGAACCTGGCAAGTCCCACACTCTGACTGAAATTGATCCAATGCATATAAGGCTTGTATAGCTCTCAAAGAGTTTCCTAATTCACTGCTCTGGGACTGAGCAGTTGGCCAAGATTTTAGGAGCCCAGGTAAACAATAGCATACAAAAAAGACTTTGCAAATATGCTGATCTGCAAATAAAGTCATTTCTTGGCAAGGTCTGGATTTACTAGTAGAATGAACATTGAACAAGCAATTTTGAACACAGGGCAGCCTAAGCTAGAACTTCATGGCTTCTAGTTCCAGCTTGTCTAGTAAGCAGCTTTGTACACTCAAGGAAGCCTCTCTCCAGCCTGTGCCCCAGTTTTCACATGGGTTGACCAGATGACTGCTACTAGCTACACTGGGCGGTTTCCTCCACCTGCTGGGAGTTTACCACGCATAGGTCCTGTATGGGGCAACGTGTGGAGCTAAGTGCTTCACATATCTTATTGACGGTGGTAGGCATTGTTCACCTCGCTTTGTAGGTGAGGAAATTGAAACCAAGACTCAGAGAGATTGACTTGTTCTGGAGGCAGAACCAGGACTTCAATCGGAATGCAGTGCTATTCAGCCTGCCCTGATGTCTTTAATTCAATCCACTATGAATTCCATTTATTAGGTGTGCTCTGTGCCAGGCTCCTGAACAGTGGATAATGCTTTGCTATACCAGAGAAACTTTAAGGAATTGCAGAATCTTCAAGTCATCCTGCCTCCTTTCTCTCCCCACAAGGCAGGTCTGCAGCTGCTGGAAATGCCCCACTCAGGCCCTCCGTAACCTGCAGCAACCCTGATTCAAGCCACAGCCTGGCCCATGACACTGCATGTAGTTTTCCACAATAGAGGGCATCAAAATTCTGACATTAAACCTTTCCGTGAAGGTAGACTCTTTACTCCACGTACATCCTACCCTGGCCCAGGTTCCATCTTACAATGTCAGGGTCTCAGGTCTCATTTGCAGGGGACCAAGTCTCTGAGCCTGGGGCAGTCACTGT